CATAGCTGATGTACAACTTTCACCACATCCTTACTTTGGAACACCCACTGTACCTGTGTGCCACATTTCAGACAGATTTACTGTAGAAATCTTCAGATATTACAGAAAACTTGTATTCAGTCCACACTAGTGACAGTCTGGTTAATATTCAAAAATTCATAAAAAATCATCCGTCATAGCTGATGTACAACTTTCACCACATCCTTACTCTGGAACACCCACTGTACCTGTGTGCCACATTTCAGACAGATTTACTGTAGAAATCTTCAGATTTTAAAGAAAACTTGTATTCAGTCCACACTCGTGACAGTCTGGTTAATATTCAAAAATTCATAAAAAATCATCCTTCATAGCTGATGTACAACTTTCACCACATCCTTACTCTGGAACACCCACTGTACCTGTGTGCCACATTTCAGACAGATTTACTGTAGAAATCTTCAGATATTACAGAAAACTTGTATTCAGTCCACACTAGTGACAGTCTGGTTAATATTCAAAAATTCATAAAAAATCATCCGTCATAGCTGATGTACAACTTTCACCACATCCTTACTCTGGAACACCCACTGTACCTGTGTGCCACATTTCAGACAGATTTACTGTAGAAATCTTCAGATTTTAAAGAAAACTTGTATTCAGTCCACACTCGTGACAGTCTGGTTAATATTCAAAAATTCATAAAAAATCATCCGTCATAGCTGATGTACAACTTTCACCACATCCTTACTCTGGAACACCCACTGTACCTGTATGCCACATTTCAGACAGATTTACTGTAGAAATCTTCAGATATTACAGAAAACTTGTATTCAGTCCACACTAGTGACAGTCTGGTTAATATTCAAAAATTCATAAAAAATCATCCGTCATAGCTGCTGTACAACTTTCACCACATCCTTACTCTGGAACACCCACTGTACCTGTGTGCCACATTTCAGACATATTTACTGTAGAAATCTTCAGATATTAAAGCAAACTTATATTCAGTTCAATACAGTCAATAGAATTATGTCATTTTTCAAAAATTCATAAAAAATCATCCTTCATAGCTGATGTACAACTTTCACCACATCCGTCCTCTGGAACACCCACTGTACCTGTGTGCCACATTTCACACAGATTTATTGTAGAAATCCTCAGATATTAAAGCTAACTTGTATTCAGTCCACACTCGTGACAGTGTGGTTGCATATTCAAAAATTTATTACGAAAATTCCTTCATAGCTGATGTACAACTTTCACCACATCCTTCCTCTGGAACACCCACTGTACCTGTGTGCCACATTTCACAGAGATTTACTGTAGAAATGTTCAGATATTAAAACAAACTTGTATTCAGTCCTACACAGTCAATACCATTATGTGATTTTTCAAAAATTCATAAATAATCAACCTTCATAGCTGATGTACAACTTTCACCACATCCTTCCTCTGGAACACCCACTGTACCTGTGTGCCTCATTTCAGACAGATTTACTATAGAAATCTTCAGATATTAAAGCAAACTTGTATTCAGTCCACACTCGTGACAGTCTGGTTGCATATTCCAAAATTTATTAAGAAAATTCCTTCATAGCTGATGTACAACTTTCACCACATTATGACTCTGGGACACCCACTGTACCTGTGTCCCCCCTGCTGTGTTCTCCGCCAATGGCCACATTTACAAATGAAGGGATGCTAAGTGGAGCTATCAGAGTCATCCGTGTGGGTTAAGGGTCTTTTCAACCTGCTTCAGGACTTTGGGGCGGATCTTGTAATTCTTGGGACTTAAGGGTGAAGGTTGACTGTAGTAGACTATGGCCACAGCGATCCCAACGAGACAAGTAGTTGCTGTGGTGGTGTGATGCGTGCACATGATTAGACAATTGTAGGAACTAGGGAGTTACATTTTTACTGGACACTGTGAAACAAAGTTAGTTTGTTAACTTTGAACAGTTACGAGTTCCTGTTGTTGACAACATGAGCGACGCAAAACGACAGAGAAGGTAAGCATGAAATTAGCTTTAGCTGCAAATCATGTCCTTTGCCTTATTGACTTACATTTTTTGCGACGTTTTCCGTATGGGTTTTTGCTTCATTTGTTATTTGCTTCCCATTACTTTTTTTTACAGTAAAATGGTGTTTCAATGTGTTTTGGAGTACTATGTATTTAATTAGGGACACATAACGTAATAGATTTGTTATAACCACGTAATGTTCTAGGTAGCCAAGAAAAACCAACACTTTAGAAAATAATTTGTTAGAAAGACAGTTGATTTTAAGAGATGATTTAATAACTTTTGCTATGTAGGTTTATTTCCTTGCACCCGAAACACAAATAATCAGCCTTTTGCTTTGTCCATATCTCTGACTAGAATGGTGTGTTAACAAAAATATGATTAGTCTGTTACCATCCAAGACCATTTCAGTCACCCCAGTGGTTTTAAATATATCATTTCGAGTTATACAAGAAATATATAAACATAACACGTTTATGAAGAAAAACTTCAAATTTTATTGTTTGTCAAATACATTGAAGCATTTGTTTTTTAATTTCTTATTTGTGTTACAGGACCTCAACATTTACTGCCTTTGGAAAGGCAAGTTTTCTCCTTAAACAATATTTTGAAAAAGATATTCAATAAAATGTGATTGTAATTAAATTATAAAGTCTAAAAAACTTTGTAGTTCTAGATCTCTCTATTTCATGTAATTATTTTACTTACACAGGCACGGAAAATTCGTCTGAAACATGAACATATAATACAATGCACTGAGACTTTCGCCGAACCACACAACAGAAACAAACACAGTGTTCACCGAGGAGACGCATTCTGGAGTAATGTGTGCAGAGACTTGGGAGTGCCAAATAATTATGCAAATCGTAAAAAACTTAATCTTGTTGCTCTGCACTACCAAAAGGTAAGCACTCTATGATATCTATGTTTATAGTCTGAATACTACTCTGGACTTAGTATTTACGAAGGATAGTGTAAAAATTTTATAAGCTCTGAAAGAAATTCCAGAGCAAAAATTCCTTGAGCAACAGACGTTTGTTTAGACCTGAAGAACAGTGGATGAATAATATAGATTGTGCCTTGCACAGGCACACCTAAGTTTAACTTGGTGGAAGGATACTGTTTATCATTACAGGTCGATGACAATGTAATTTCTACATGTGTATTAAACAGGGAAACATGGAAGTCATACACCAAACAAACAATCTTGATGTTGAAGGTGATAGTGGGACCTCCGGAGAGAGTAAATCTTCTTTGGTACGTATTTCACAATAAAATGACATGATTGATTTTATGTAACGTGTATTGTTATGAATTCAAAAGTTAAATTTTTAAAATTGTATTAATGTTTAGATTACGTAGTTAAACAATCATTTCCACATGAATTTATGGTTTTATATGAATTGTAGTGTAGTGGTAACTCCATAGTGTACAGGTTAATAGTAACACCTAACATGAGACATGTGCTTTAATGGATGGAGGCACAAAACACAGGAACCGTTGCTTCTTGAAGGGCAAACGCATATGATGTGATCCCGTTTCCTAGTCCCAGTCAGCAACCTGGCTGCGCTGTTCTGCACCACCTGTAGGCAACGCAGTGATGACTGACACAACCCTGCATATAGAGAGCTGCAGTAATCAAGGCTAGAAATTACAAAAGCATGGAGTACCCGCTCCAGGTGGGCTCTTGACAGCATGGGCTTGATTTTTGCAAGGCGTCTCAGGTGAAAGAAACTGGACCGGATCACATAGTTGATGTGAGCATCAAATTTAAGTCCAGCATCAAGTTTCACCCCCAAACTGGTCACAACTGGCTTGGAGTATGGCGAAAGAGGCCCAAGATCAACATTACGATCCACATTCCTGCTATTGGGGTGACAAACAATGAGCTTTGTCTTTCCCTCATTCAGATGCAGAACGTTGGCCATTAGCCAACACCTCACCTCGTTAACACTGGACAAAAATGACTGGATAGAGTCACCTTTCTCCGGACACAATGGAGAGTAAATCAGGCAATCGTCAGCATAGAGATGGAATGATAGGCCATGTCTACCTACCTTGTGCGTCAACATTGTATCAAACAAATGTAAATTACTATTTATTTTCTGCTGTGTGGCTGCGGGTCAGGTTGTTTAGCAGATATACGCGTTGATTCCTGGCTCAGTCTGCATGCCAAATATCCTTTGTCAAGATACTAACCACAAGTTGCCCTCCGATGCGCTCATCGGACTGTGAATGTGTGTAAATGTTTATTATTTAGCACTTGATTTTCTAAGTGCATGTATGACGTGTTGTGAATGTGACATGTAGTCCAGAGCGCTTTGAGTAGTCTGGGAGAGTCGAAAAGCAATATATATGAATCATTCCTTTCATCATATTAGTGAGTGTTTGTGTAAGTGAATTACTTGTATTATGTCAACCAATGTAAACCTTTAAAACTAAAACGTGTATTTTTTTTTTACATTACTATACTCATGAGCTAATAATTATTTCACACTCAGGATGAAGGAAACAGTGGCGGCGAAACACTCGAGATGTATCCACCTGAAAAGGAAGGAAATGAATCTCTCTTTTTGCTCAAACAGGTTGGAATTATTTATTACATAACTTTTAAGTGATTGCACTTGATTAAAACAGTGTCTCTATTTAAAAATAATTTCTTTGTTTGACAAATACAATTACATTAAAAGGATGTTTCAGAGGACAGTGATGACAATGGCATTTTCCAAAACATTTCTCCTGAATTGAAACAGCCACAAACTGGTGTGTCTACACCACAATCGTCTACATCACTCGAACAGGTAAATTATTGTCCACATACCATTATTTTTAATGAAATTACATCACATATTTCTTATTTTTAATAATTAATGTGTTTTAGGACTGGAGTACAGATTCACCCAACAACAGTGACAGTAATGCTGAAGAGGAATTCTACAAATGCTCATTGCCACAGCAGCCTTGTTTTTTTTTCATTGACCCGAAAGACTGGCAAGACCTAAGAAAAACGCAGAAAGGGAGGCTTTTCAAAGGACTGCAGTGGACTAATGTTGTAGCCACTGGCATTAAGTCAGTACACCCATTTTGCAGTTTTGGATTTAAGAGGCATACCATCAACACCAGTCAGTCACGGTCTAAGAGGGCTGTGTTCTCATGTAAGGCATACTGCCGTTTTAAGGATTGTCCAGTGACTGTGACAGTGGAGGTTAAAGATGAAAAAACCCTGAAGGCTGATGTGCTTTTCCAAGGAGGTGAGGTGTGCCACAACACAAAGGAAATAAAAACAAGACCTGTGCGTGGACACTCCAGAGACGAAATAGCAGAACAACTGGAAACCAAAATGCCAAGAAGTCTTTATCTGGATTCTCTAATTAAAATACCAGAAAAAGCTTTCCAAGCCGGGTGTCGGGATGAGGCTCCATCTAAAGAGGTCTTGAAAAATATTGCCTGGTCCCACAGAACAAAAGACAGACCTCATTTAAATGAGATGGCCAGTCTGCAAATTTTACTTGACAGACAGCAAGGACTTCCAAACGAAGTCCTTCAGAGAGTGCTCCTGCATCCAAAAGGTATAATGCTCTGGTCCCGAAAAACACTTACAGTGTTTTACCAACGGTGCAAAGATGACATAGTATATTTTGATGCAACAGGAAGCATTATCTCAAAAGATAATGCTTCTGCTACTCCGTACTATGTGTATGAAATTATAGTTCGAAATCCCTTCAAGGGATCCTCACCTCTTCCAACAGCAACTTTTGTTACATGTGACCATACCACGGCTTCTGTAACATATTTTGTACAAGCATTTCAAACAGAGCTTACACGAATGTATGGAAGCAGGGCAAACAAAAGGCCAGTAATGATCATATGTGATGGCTCACTGGTGCTTCTCCAGTCCATTGCGATAACATTCTGCAGAGCAAGTTTGGAAGACCTCTTGGAGAGATACTTCCAGGTTATCACAGGACAGTTGGACACGGATAACTTCAACATACCCATTCTCCACCGGTGTTTGAGTCACATCATGAAGAACGCAAAGGATCTTTGCAAAAAGAGGTATTTGTGCTCAAAGTCCTTGAGTACGAATGTTAGTTTTCTGTTTTAAGTATTTCTTTGGTGTTAGTGGTCTTGCCCTTGTAGATATTGTTGACTTGTTAATTTATGTCTATTATAATTATATTTTGTTAATGTTTTTTCTGCTAATTATTTGATTTTGTTTGTGTTTAGTATTCATGGTAATTGTTAATATGCTTTTTTGACTACAGACTTGAGAAACACTACAAATTTGGCATGCACGTTTTTGGATTACTGGCCTGTTCTTCCAACCTGAAAGATTTCGATGGCATTATTGTAAGTGCAACAGTAGTTTTCAAAAGTCCATGCAGTGGACCAGAAGTGCAAAAACACCTGCAGAACCTCAAACTGCTGATCAATCCGACGGGAAATGGTGATGATGAAGAAAAAGACATCATTCCAGAGGACTACAAGGTAATTTTAAAATTAAGTTTGGTTTTCAATGGTTGAGATATTAATTGTGTTCATGTTATAGTGTGACACCAATAACATTGTTTTGTAGCACATGTATGTGTTTTTTTAAACAAAATAAGGTCTTCATTATCCGAAATTTTTGTTAATTATATGACACTTAAATTTTTTTTTTCAGACGACAACAGTTCACTCATCACTTAACCAGCACTTTGCAGAAGTAATTGCCAGTGCCCACCTTGATGTGACTGGACCACCGAATGTGTACCATGCACCAGCATTCATTTCAAGTCTTTCTAAATACTTTCTTCCACATGCTACCTTGTGGTCAGGAATGCTGCTTGGTATGTCTAGTTTCGTTCAATCATCACTTTTATGTTATAATTGTTGTGCTTTATTGATTGAAAGTACTGTTTTTATTTAGGAGACCTTGGACGGCATGGCAAAGGATCAGCGTATGTCTTTCTCAGTAAACGGTACAATCAGGTGTCGCAGTTGAACACGCAGGTAGAATAAATTAAGACAGTAAAAGACACATTATGCAGATTTTGTCAAAAGACTAAATTATGTAATTACCATTTTCAGAACTACACTGAAGACAACCGTACACAAGGGATCATGGAAAAAAGTCAATGGGACCTGAAAAGGATTCGTTTTGATGGAAAGCGTCTCACTAGATTAGATGACTTTGTGCTCATATATCAAAGGAAACATGATGGTCTTCTCAGAGAATATGGAGATGTGGTCAACAAAAGGAGGAAGGTGAGGTTTGAAGACAATAATTCAAATTTCTGGACTGCTTTGGTGCAGTTTTTACACAACAAAAGTCATTCGCACTGCTGTAGTTGCATTTATCATATCTGTAATGAATATTTGCATTAACATTATGAATTGTGTGTTTTATGTGCATGCTTTAGTCTAAAATGTATTTGTTACTGTCGTTGAGACTTTGTGTTATTAGAAAACAAATTTACAACTGCATTACATGTGGTTATAATGAGTTTTCAGATATGATAAATGTAGGAGATTATTAGACTGACAACTGGAATTAAACAAAAGACATGAAGCATTAAGCATTTCGCATTCCAATAAGTTTGGAATTACAGTAAATGTCCTTGACTGTTTGCTTGTTTGGAATATTTTGTACATAAAGATCAGATCAAAAAATTCTTGTTAATTATTTTTAAATTATACTTTTCAGTCTTACCGAGTGGAGACCGAGAAGTGGAAGAAAATAAGTAGAAAGCGAAAAGGCTTCTATGTAACTCCTCAGATGGGAAAACAAGTCAAACAGGTAAGGTATCATCACTTTTTCTTTCATCTATGCATGTCACCACAATTTGTTCTATTTGAAATGTTGTGTGTTGTATGCCAATTACAATGTATACTTGGTTTTTTTTTTTTTTTTTGCTTCTATTAAGCATGCAATAAATTATGTAATCTTACTGTAACTCTCTTTATATTCCTATGATTGTATGCATGTTTTGGAAAGTAAATAACGATGTCAACTATACATCACTGTACAGTAATTGTAACTCGTCAATGTGTTAAAACTGTTTTGAACAGATTAAATAACCATCTGTTGTGCCATACTACATTTCATAATTAAAAACCTCATTAGTCTTTCACAGCTTTTAGCAAAAAATTGGTTATTAAAAATCATGACACTGGAACTCTCCACACATAGCAACAGCTAGCCATAAAATACTTGTTGTTATTGAAGTAATTAGCATTATTGTTAGTTATTGCAGTTGTAGAAGACCATTTACAACAATTAGCATTTTGTTCTGTAAATGCAGTAACATTTAAACACATAATGCAGACTGCATATTGTCTTAACCTATGTGTGTATTATAGATAGAGAACAATTTAAGTTCTGATAAAGACATACATTTTCATGTGTGTTATGTAAGTATTCTGTGTTCTTCCATGGAAAGTAGTAATTTCATTATTTCTCTAAGGATTATCTACAAGAACCACCAGACTCAGATGTGCCCACAGAGCAGACTGAAGCTGTCACTACACAGGTTAGATTTTTATTTATTGTGAGATATACATACATAAATATATACAGTATACACACACACACACACACACACACACACACACACACACACACACACACACACACATACATCAATCAATCAACCAATCACTCAAAGCTTTACTTATAAAGCACCTTCCGCAACCCTGTCAGGAAGCCCAAAGCGCTGAACATGGTACTGTTGTAGATAAATATATTGAATAAATCAACTATAAAAGGAATTCAAATAACAAAATAGAAATTACAAGATACAAATTACAAAATAGAAATTACAAGATAGAAGAAAGATTCTGGTACAGGACAAAAGTGAGAAACACATTCGGATTGAGTGGATGGATTGAGTGAACCAATGAAAACTGTGAAATCAATTCTACATAAAAGAGGGCCAAAATCAAACATGTTCTGGAAACGCCAAGCGGAGGAAGTGTGTTTTTAGGTGATTCTTAAAGACTGGCAGAGAAGGGGACAGCCTAACTGAGGGTGGCAACTGGTTCCAGAGTAACGGTGCTAGGACTGAGAAAGCCCGGTCCCCACGGGCACGACACCTAGAACGAGGGACAGCGAGCAGGCCTTGGTCAGAGGAGCGCGTGATGGGGAATGTCTGTTCAGGAGTGTGGCTAGATAGGGGGGACCACCACCCTGGAAGAAACTGTAAACAAAGACGAGGATTTTGAATTGTGAGCGATAGCAAATCGGAAGCCAGTGCAGGGAAGCCAGAACCGGACTGATGTGGTCCCGTTTCCTGGCCCCAGTCAGGAACCTGGCGGCGCTGTTCTGCACAACCTGTAGGCGACGCAGTGATGACTGACACAACCCTGCGTAGAGAGAGTTGCAGTAGTCAAGCCTAGAAATTACAAAGGCATGCAGTACCCACTCCAGGTGGGCTCTCGACAGCATGGGCCTGATTTTTGCAAGGCATTTCAGGTGAAAGACACTGGACCGGATCACAGAATTGATGTGAGCATCAAATTTAAGTCCTGCATCAAGTTTCACCCCAAAACTGGTAACAACTGGTTTTGAGTATGTAGAAAGAGGGCCAAGATCTACATAACGATCCACATTCCTGCTGTTGGGGTGAAAAACAATGAGCTCTGTTTTTCCCTCATTCAGATCTAGGTAGTTGGCCATTAGGCAAGACTTCACCTCATTAACACAGGACACTAAGGACTGGATAGAGTGACCTTTATCCTGACACAATGGAGAGTAAATCTGGCAATCGTCAGCATAGAGATGGAATGATAGGCCATGTTTACACATATTAAACAATATTGAAATGGTCATGTGTTTTAATTTATATTAGAGCACAGAAGACATCCAAGGATGGGATTTGCCAAACAACTCCAGAAAAGTCCAGGAGGCGGAAAAGGGCAAAACATTGGATAAATTACAGGTGAATCAATGTCTATTGTACTGTCTGTAACTTCGATGAAATGTCAACAAACAGACATAACATCAGGAGTCGCTGCTATGTCATTCAGACACACTTCGGAAACATGCGGGTGGTTGCATGAGAAGAACGTGAATTTGTATGTTAGAAGTTTTTTTGCAAAACGAAGGCTTAGGTATTCTGTTATGCTGAAAAGGGTTTATGTTCCCTTTTAACTATTTATCCTTTTAATAGCTTTTCCAAACTAATTAATTATTGATTGCGGTAGCCTACCCTGATGTGAAATAGAGTTATTAGTATTCACAAATTAAATTTGAAGATAACAATCTTGTGCACATAAAAACTTTTTTAAAAAACCTTAACTTGTCCGATAAATGTATTAGGTACCTATGTTGGTGTAACACATAGTCATTTATATGTCTGAATGAATTGTCAATCATCCTTTTTATGTCAATCTCAAAAGGTTCAATCTATTCACCTGGACGCCGCTTTTTCAGTGGGAGACATGTTTCCTCACTTATCCAAGTAACTTCTTCACTCTAAGCTGACTGCAGTTTTCACCAAAGTTAGAAAGAATACATTTTCATAATGACTGAAACAAGCAAACTGAAGTAATGATGGGTTGTGATGTGAGTTGCTTCATCATAATTGTGCAAATTGGTGTGACCATTGATCAACAACGACTGATCACAGATCACTACTAAATGCCCATGACTCAGTATACAAATTTACATTTTGTAAGATGCGTGAAACTTGGAGAGAGGTGAGAGTGAATACATTTCTTGGATGACTGAAGAAATGTTTGTCCCTCTGCAAACGCTACGTGCAGATGAAGAAAATCAGCTTTTGGGGTTCATTTATATGTGTTTCCATATCACCAAACAAAATGAAAGCATTTATAGTATTATGTTGAACATCTTTGAAAAAACAACCTTACTGATTTGTGTACTTCTTTGACAATGTGTTAATAGTTTCTTACTGTTGTGCCACAAATACAAACACACTCTTAATTTTACCCATAGGTCACAGCACTGTGGAAAAGAGAGGAAACCGAAGTTGTCGTTGCTGTGATTCCATCACAAATAAAAGGGAACAACTTTATAGTTCACCACAGCGAGCTGCAATCCCTGGAACCTCATCAATGGTTAACAGGCGAGGTACATGGAAAAGACAGTTTTACAAACCCTGTGTTTTAAGTGTTGTGGAAAGGGGTAACATAAGAACTGATGCGGAGAAGGAGTGGTGAGTCTAAAGAAAAGACATATATTTAAACAGGGAGGGCAACCAATATACACAGTCCTACACTGGAAAAACTCAAACAAACCACGTCATTCTCCCACTGAATAACTGTAACAGGAGTCCTTTTAGCTAGCGCTTCATCATCATGGGGATTGTCTGCAGCTGTTGCAGAGTGGGCGGGCCTAGGCGGAAGCCAGCCTGATGGAGGACTTGTCCAAGGTCCTGAAAAGCCTGGAGGGAAAACACAGGGCCACACAGGGCCACACAAGGCGTGGGAGCCCAGGATCCCTAAGAGACAGACTACAAAACAAATGAAGCTGTATTTTAAATACTGTTTTACACTAATCCTTTCATATCCACCATTTAATTTCCTGTTGTTGTTTTTTTTATTTATTGCTATTCATAGAGCCAAAACATCACTGATCTTAATGCTGTTCCCATATCAACAACAAATTTTTCCATCCACGTTAGACAGACGCAATGTTTTTATAGACAAAGCTATTGTTTATACGTGCTTTAATCTTAAATGGATTTGTTACAGTGCTAATGCACTTGAATCTTCAAATGTTTTATACTTAAAATGTTTTATACAACTCCAAATCACTAACTGTAATTTGAAATAAACAGCATTCCTTTAATTAAACAAACAAATAAATATACGTTAAAAAATTTAAAATATATATCAAAGAGGAAATAAAGTGAAATTGTCAAAGACAAAATTTTAGTCTTGTGTCACATTTTGTTAGCCCAATTTACCATGTGGACATGACAAAAGGATGTAAAAATGTTCGGTGATCTTGTAACTGTGGAAGTTATTGACCTATATTTTTGTTTTAAATCTGTTTTTATTAATATGTTTAACATTTATGAGCACAAAATGTCACTAAAATTTCCTTGTTCGTCACTGACAGGAGTCACCCACAGTGTGGTCTTTGTTTGATATAAAGCTTTTGCCTGGAGATAAATAGCAGTTTAACTTGACATCTCTTCTTTATTCAATTTCATTTTTACCAGATTATAGAGTGTGCTCTGCATGTTATGGCCTGCAAGCTGGATTTGGGCAGTAAGATATACATTCTGAACCACTACACTGCTGGTGTCATCCTGTTTGGGAAAAGAGAAATGATGAGGAGGCACTGTTTGTCTTGATTATTTTTTGCTTAATGTTGTGTTAAATCTCAGTGTTACGTAAACTTTATGTGTCCCTATGGTAGATGGGTCAATCATTGGCATTAAGAACTTGCGTTAACATTTCTGTTCCTGCAAGTTTTTTTGTAATGTCTTGGTAAATTTTTTTCTGTTTTAATATATGACAGTCCCTGTTTTTTCTGTAGAGTTATAGTTTCTTTATTCTGTGTGTTTTTGGGTGGTGCAACCCTATTGGCTTTGGTACTGAGGAAAATTAGAGGAATAATGAATTGTGAGTACTATAGACAATTTAATACAGTACTCAAAGACAGTGCTATTCAAAATTCGGTAATGACATGTATTTGTTAGGGTCCCTGGGTCGTTGAGCCATAGTGTTAATTGCTCATTACTGTTGTACTTTGATTGTTGCTTTTGTTTACCGTATGTGATCTTTTGGTTTCTTTGTCATAGTTGTACCTTTTTGTTTCTTTTCTGTGTTCCATAGTTGCTGTCTACCCTTTCGGCTGTATCGACGTGTCAAGTCTGCGTCTGTGTTTTTTTCCATGTTTTAATTAGAAAGTCTATGTCTCATGTTAAAGTGTCTGTTTTTGCTTCCTTTGTGTCGTTAGGCCTGAGTTGCCACAGTTGTAGTTCCAATCCTGTTTCCCATTCCCTGCTCGCTCCCTCTGTGTTTTTCAGCCCTGTGTTTTCATCTACACGTCTCACGATCTACTGTCTCCTATGCTGCGTGTTGTCCCTGCCAGCCACCGGGCCGAGCTGGTTCATTTTGTGTTCGAGTTCCGAACAGTTGTCTGTTTGCCGTCCGGCATTATTGCTGTAGTTAAGTTCAACATTTGTTTCCGCGACTGCATTTTGGGTACTTTGCCTGCCTGCATGTGGCCCTGACATGACAGTATAACCCTTGCACAGGGAGTTCTTCAAAATGAGGCGTACTGCTATCGGCAAGACTGACTGGGTGGATATAAAGTTACAAGGAGAAGTTGTGAAACACCCAGTTCAGAAGGACACAAATAGCTGCGGTGTGATTGTCATCTTGGTAAAGTAACAGATGAAAATATATATCTCTCATATAAGCTCTTTCATATATTATTATAAGCTCTTTTATATGAACAAATATGTATCTCTCACTTATGCTCCTTATATATTATCATAAATACATTATTATATGCCTTTTCATGGAATCTTGTTATAATATCGAAAACCTCTCTGTGCCTTTTCTGCTCAAGCTGAACAGCTGCATAAGGGAGTGAAAGTGTTCCTTCCTTCATTTCCTCAATACAAGAACAACTGTCTTTGTTAGCAAAGGATGTTGCAGGATGTGTCCTGATCATCTCAAGGTTGCATGTCCTTGGGATGAATTGGTCTTTCATTAACAAGGCTATTAGCTGACGTGCGTCTGCAGGTGCAGATGGCAGAATTACGTGTGTGTATGGCAAACTACGTATGTAACATTCCTGTAATCTTCAATAAAAATCAGCCGTTTTCAGCAGAACGGCGAGAGTCTGTCCGAAGCAGCTGGCAAGAGCAGGTCGCGGGACTTGCTGCAGAGGCTCTCCCCCTCATGAGCGGTGAAACAGTGAATGGACTTCTGATCATTTGTCTCCACATTCTGCCAACTCAAAAGGTGTTTAACTCCATCTTCTCCGTACCCGTGCTTGGTCTAACAGAAGAAAGACCAACAAATTTGGCGTCACGAACAGGATTTTTTCTTTTTGAAGAAAAAGGAGTTTTTGGAGGACAATTCGACCCACTGACCCAGCGAACGATCTTGGCACAGAACACCGCGGTGGAAAACAAGGTGAGCAGAACCTTATTTTCTAAAATCTGCTCATTGGATTTATCCAAAGCCTTTGTGTCCAGAATCATAGTAGCTGTGGTCCTAAAATAATAGTTGGAGACGAAAGTGGAGACAAGTGCAGAAAGAATAAGAGATTTTTTTTGTAATGGTTTAATGGTGAAATGAAATGAGGATTTTTCTAATGGTTTAATGGTAAATGAGATAAGGAAATAGTACAGAAGAAGGGTTGGAGGCCCAGGGCTATTAGAGGAGCCCTAAATTCCATTTCCAGGTCGTGGCTGACCACACTATTTGCTGACGAGCGAATAGAATATATAACGAGGTTATATAAGAGCTTGGCGAGAGAGTCCATAGGTGTGGGAACCCTAAAAGTCCACAGGTCGAGGACCTGGTTTTGTGTTGAGGCCCTGGGAGGCTAAAGAGAGCTCCCTAAAGTACAGGTCGAGGACCTGGTTTTGTGTTAAGGGCAGGGGAGGCTAAAGAGAGCTCCCTAGATTTTAAAGGTCAAGGACCTTTTTGTATGAGATGAGAAAAATGTTCTAAGGTAACTGTTTTTGCATAAAATAAGCAATGTTTTAAATATGACAAGCAGCCCAGTTGAAGCCATGAGAAATAAGGTTTTATTGAGAAAGTCAGCAGAAAAGGCGATGAAGGAAAAGGGGTAGATGTTAACAGTAGAGGTAACTGGAGCAAGATTTGGGAAGTGAAGGCTGCAGAATCAAGAGAAAAAGGCACAGCTGTAGACAAGCTTCACTGTGTGTGTAAGCTGAGTTCAGCCTGTGTGTGTGAGGCGCAGCAAGAGGCTGCTTACGGCTCTGGATTGAAAGTGCAGCACTAGGAGAGTGCAGAATGCAGAGCAGAGTTTTGGGAGCTCCGTGTGTGTGTGTGTGTGTACAGCGCTGGATGGTGTGTGTGAAGGCCTGATGCGGTACCAGAAAATAAATAAATAAGATAAATAAGAGCTTTAAAAAGTTGCAACTCGTATATGTAAATTACACTGCAGTGCTAAAATTAATGTTTGGAGCTACGCAAAATTCAAAATTCTGCAACCCTGTTCTGATCAGTCTTTGAACAGAACACCATAAGTTAATAAATAAAAGGTTTTTAAAGTAACATATGTGTATGTATGTGCGTATGTATGTATATGTGTATACATATATATACATATGTAGTGTACAAGCGTGATAATCATTTGTGTGCGGGGCAGCATGTGAGGGACCCCGATCTGGGGGTTAAGTGGCCTGGAGAAAAAAAAAAAAAAAAAAAAAAAAAAACCAATAAGAAATGCAAGTAAGGTTGTATATGACAGCTTTATTTCAGAAATATATGGATATACATATACATAAAGCCAGGTAGCTACTGAACAGTAAAATCAAAACAGATCTGCAGAAAATAAATATATAAACTATTCCTCAGAGCGCTCTCAAAAAATTGCAATTGGATTTGCTCTAATGTTACATAAGGCCTGCTTAAAAGCATAGTAAGCATTAAATTCTGAAAATAACCAGTGCAGTGTTAAATAAATTCTGTGCTTAAAATATTATATATATATATATAGAGAGAGAGAATAAATAAGTGACGAACTGACTTACTTTAAAAAAAAAAAAAAAAGACTGTGACAAACAAAGAATGTCTCTGTGCCTTGTGAATGAGTGGATGCGTGTCTTCTTGCATGAGAAGTGAATGTTGCTTTCGCTGGATCTTCTCCTGAAATGACTCAGTTTTTAATAGAGGGAGCAGCTGCTTGAGAAACGGTGCGGTCCATGTTTTTGCTAGACGGTTATTTAGTTCAAGAGACTGTGGAAACAATAGAAAAAGAATTTATCGTTAGTGTGATGACAAGTAAATCCTTTGAAATACAAAAGTTGCATGGTTGTGGTTATAAAGGAAGTATTTTGTCTGATTATGGGCCGTGGAGTCAGCTGGACTCCCTCGCTCTCACTGTTTTTCTGTGTAACATGCAGTTTTAAGCAATTTGTGACTTTAGAAAGGATATTTTTCGGTGTGTTGGACGTACCTTAAGGCTCCTGGTTAGGGTAATCAGGAGATCCTTCCTCTCGGACAGATCTAGTGAGAATGACTGGAGTTTCAGCCTGGGGACCTGACTCCACCCACTTTTACACACAAGAATCCCATAGTCTAAAAATAGCACAGGGTGCTGCGAAAAGCAGCTCTGAACTTCTCAGGATCATCTTTATGAAAACCATAAAATTAACAAATAATCAGTCAGGAAATAAAATATTTGTTAAATCTTGCTATAAAACAAAATCCAATAATTGTCTTGCCTCAACTTTAAGAACCATTAACGTTAATGGCTGGATTTTGAGATGCTGAATAATGAAAAAACAGATAAACTAAGTATTATTTCCTGTAACCTGGCTAGAAACTGTACTAGGCTGTTTTGAGTTAAAAACTGGTAGTTATTTTCCTAAAATAAAAATAGATAAATAAAAAATGAAAGGAGGGATCTTGCATTTGGGATAGATTGTGCTTAATGTTTAAAACCTGTGTAGAACTGATTTGATGATTCAGAACAAATTGTGCATAGGAAGTAGTTCAGATTTATTTTTGAGTCAATAAAGTCGACTAATTATTAGAAACCATCGTTGGTTTTGATTTGTAAAAGAGAAAGTTCTGTCATTTCAACCCAATCAACATATTTAAGGAAAACGTTTGCTGTGCATTGTGGTGGGCATGAACTTTACTGGGTGGGCCTGTCACAACCAGCTGCAAAGAATGTTTGGGTCTGACTTCTATACAAAGAGAACCTGGAAGCCCTCACCAAAAACTGTGACTTATAACATCAAGACGGGGAGCACTACAAGATGGACAAAGAGGCAGAAACTTATTTGCCCTGCTGCTGATGAAACAAAGTACAAAAGGGGGAGCATGTGTGCTAACATGTGAACTTTAATCAATGACGGTGGTCATCCTGGACTTACAAAGAGAGGCTCAAAAGAGACTGTTTCCTATGGTTACACCCAGTAAAAGAGTGCTTGCTGCAGTCAGGTAATGAACAAGGCTTTTTGGCAACAACCAGTTGAATTGATGAAATGTCAGAACTGTGGAAAATTTACTAAACTACTGTAGAACATAGTTAACTGAGAAAGTTAGCCTAAAAAAATAATAATAATAATAATATCAATAAATAAATAAATAATAGGATTAGTAACCTGGATTTCAGCCCAACTCACCATTGGACGTCAATATAATCTTTATTGTCTTAGGATTCTCAGCTGCAGCGGACATGCAGTAAAGCCTTATTTTCTTTTCAAAACGGAATACATCAGCGTCATCACTTATTCTCATTGGTTAAGGAAACGGTGTCTATTTATAAGTCTAGGAGAACGCTTTAGGCTTCAACAGTTTTCTCCTTCGAGCAAACATGCGCAAATTTCCGGATAGTTTATAGTAACGTTCCATCCCATTCCATTCATTGCATAAAAATAAACATTAAATGAATAATTTGGCATTCAGCTGACTAAATGATTCATGGAACATCTCATCCGAGACAACAGTGTTGTTTCAGCTCCGTTGAGTTTCCCAACAGATCTAGCCAAACCTAGCTGATCCTATATTTTTCTATCAGCTGTAAGTTCTAACGTAGAAAATAATGTCACAAAAATATTGAATAATTGTACCCCTCATTCGATAAAAATTATGTTCACATTCTTATCTTGTGAAATCTTTAACATAATATTTTTAATTGGCCTTTTTGACGACAATTGGCTAAAAAGTCTTTAAGATTATCATCACAGGATGGCATGATAAATAAGTAAATAACATAAATAAATAAATAGATAAAAATAAGAGAGAAAAAGAAAAATTAATTAAATGAAACGTAATAGTAATAAAACGTTAAATTGATCTAAAATCTGTCATTCAGTGCCACTGGAAAAAGGAAGAGGATAGGGGAGTATTTCTTAGCACAAATCACGTTATTGATTTAGCAATGCAGCTTAATTTCAGATGCTTTAAGGATGATACTAACTTGTGTTATAGATGGAGGAGTAGCACAGAAACACTTCTAGATGAGGAGATAAGGAAAAAAAACTGCTGATTACCAATACTATGCACAAACAAACCTGTAACTGCAGTTTCGTTATTTATGAATTAACCTTAATTAGTGAATTAATTCTTAGGATTTCTTGCGAGTAGTGTTCCTAAAAAAGAAAGAAAGAAAGAAAGAAAGAAAGAAGGTAAGAAAGACAGGTAGTTTAGGTAAGGGACAACCTGAAACTA